AAACACGCCCGCTTGTCAGCATAGATACGAGAGAGTTGACCGTGTGGGTGTTCAAACGGTGGCACATGCCGGTAAAGTGCCCTGTAGGAATTTTGTTTTAAATTATTAAAAAAAATTATTTTTCCATACGAAAAACCAATAATAGCAAAGAGACACAAAATATATGTTTCTTTTTTTAATTTCTGATTTATTTTTAACCAAAAAATTTTAAAATACTCAATTCATTTATTAAAAGGGTTTAAGGTATTGCCAAAATTTCTATTTAGCGGTAATTTGAAAAATTTCCAAGCTTTCGAATATTTAAAAAAAATGAAATTTCCAAAATCTTTTAATGTTTTTTTTTTTACAATTTTCGAAATTCAACATATTTTTATTAAAAAATTAATTCTTCAAATATTGTTCTAAGAATTCTTCCAAAGAGTTGTGGAATTATAAAAGCAAGACAAATGGAAAATTTTCAAAGTTATTTAGTAACTACAATATTATATATGTATTGTAGCAAAATATTTTAATAAATTTATGGCAATTTTGAAACAAATTCTATGTATTACAAAAAACATATATATTATAAATTCTAAAAATCAACGACCTTTTATTTAAAACATCAAAATTATTTTCATACTCATATTTTTAAGTCATTAAATTTTTAAAAACTCTGAAAATTGCACAGAAAAATTCACAAAATTGTGAAAAAATTAAAATTAAACCATTTTTGCTTTTAAATACTCAATTTTTTCATCATTTATTGCATTTATTTATAAAATTGGGAAATAATTTTTTTTTTTGCCAAATCATAATTTTTCAAAAATTTTGCTTAGTTTTATTTTATAAATTTATCTTAATATTTCTATTTTTTAAATCTTCAAAAATAACTAAATAAAAATATTATTCAATTTTATATTTTCGAAACAAAATTGTATTTATTTATTTATTTTTTAATTGTTTTATATGCTTAATTTGTGTGTTGATTTGATTATTTAATTATATTTTATTTAATAATTTTTATTTAATAATTTATTTATTTTTTTAAATATTTTATTTCTTTTATTTATTTATTTTTTATATATTTTTTGATTTTTTGTATATCCCCACTTTCCTTGTTGATTTATTTATTTAATTATTATTTGTTTAACAAAATGCAATTTAATTATTTATTTTTTTTAATTATTTATTTTTTTATTTATTTGTCTATTCATATATTTTTTGATTGTTTTATATGCTTAATTTGTTTGATGATTTGTAAATTTAATTATATTTTATTTAATAACTTGTAGTTTAATTACTCATATTTTTTTATTATTTTATATCTATTATTTATTCATTTTTTGTTTTATATGCTTACTTTATTTGGTGATTTATTTATTTAATTATATTTTATTTAGTAATATGTAATTTAATTCATTTTTTTTAATTATTTTTTTTTATTAATTTATTCATATATTTTGTTGAATTGTATATTTAATCATATTTTATTTTATCATTTGTAACTTATTTATTTACTTACTTTTAAATTATTTTATTTTGTAATTTATTTATTTGAATTTCTATTTAAAAGTTTTTACAATTTTCTGTTATTTAATTATTTATAAGTAATATGTGCTTTTTCACTAATTTGACCATTTGATTACTTAATTGTTTATTGATTTATTTGTTATTTAATTGTTATTTTTTCTGTATTTGTTTAATTACACTTAATTTTAATTTTTATAATTTTTCTTTTTTAATTATTTTCGTAAGCTTTCGTTTTGTTGTTAACTTGTTTACTTAACTATTTATATTTATTTCATTGTTAATCAATTAATGATTTATTTAATTATTTAATTTTACATATATTTATTCCCAATTGAAATTTCTGTCTTTGATTTACTATTTATTTGATCTCTATTTATTTTTATTTATTTGTTTAAATTATTATATTTTAGTATATTTGTTTATCTTTATATGCTCTCTTTTCTTATCTATTCATTTTAACTAAAATAGTAAGCCTTTCCCGCAGGGACATGGAAATGCGTGTGCTAAAAACCGTTTGTGGACATAAACTGCTTTTGGTTTCCAATCGTTTCAAGCGCTTAAAAAAGCTGCCCACGCGAATGGTAAGAACATGGAAAAAATTATATGAATTATATTTGAAACTTCATCAATGCTGATTGATACACATATGTGCATATACTACTACTTACAAAACTATTTCTATATATGAAATCGTTTGCATGCATTTTATAAAAGTTAAACTTTTTCTTTAACAACACATACACATATATATTTTTGTATGTATTTGTCTGTAATTAATTGCAACGTGAATTTGTTCGAGGACATAAAAAATGTAAATATATGTGTGTAGTACTTAAATAAAAAAAAATTAATAATCTCTTTGAGTTGCAATCACTTATTGTATTTTATTTTATATTCGCTTTCAACATTTCTCTGAGGCGCAAAATGAATTTGAAGTGGACTTCGATTGAAACTTGATTAACCGCAACACTATATATTTTTCGCTATGAACTTAATTCAGCTTCATTCAAGAATAGTGAATTTTACAACAAAACATGTCAAGTTACTAACAGTTCTAAGCCACCTTCGAAGAATGGATTTATTTTTATGAGAAACTTTTTTATTTCTTGTTAGAAATGCACTCGCAGGTGTTGATATCCTTTGTCGAGCGGCAATCAAATTAAGAGATAAGAAAAATTCTATAATTTAAGACGACCTTCCGCATAGTATAGGGTTCTCGATTTCGGAATTTCAATAGTACAGCGCTGGCCAAAAATATTAGGCGCGCCACTAAATACTGAATTTTTTGTTTTAACAAGTGCAGTAGTAAAACAGTGAAAATACCATGAATTAGTGATAATAACTTTACTATTTAGTAGGTCCACTCTTCGATTCATGACGGCAGCAATTCTCTTAGGCATGCTGCGTACAAGCTTTGCACATTCGTCTGCACTTATAGCGTACCACTCGTTAATTAAGGCATACTTTAAGGCATGTTTTTGATGTTATACTGTGTTCCTTAATCTTGCGTTTTAAAATAGCCAGCATGTACATGGCTTTATGCTGATATCTGGCAAACTTCACTGTCAACTTAAAGATGTTTTCTTTCAGCTAAAAGTCAGATATTTATGAGAATGGATCGCATAGTAACCGCACAACGCTTTAAAACTTTTAAAACTTACTACAAAAGTGATCAAGCAAGCGTGGGGTACATAATCGCCCAACTACTCAAGCAATTCGTAAAATTTTATAAAAATTCAGAGAGACTGGTTTGGCCACAAGTAATGTATGGCCTATGCATCATCACTTCGCTCTTTCCAACGTCAAATAGGCCTACTGTAAGTGAAAGCCGAAGACCCGAGTATGATCACTTCTCGAAATCTTCATGACTTAGGACTTCCTTACGGTACTTTATGGCGTATTTTACACTTCGACTTACACCTACATCCATACAAACTCCAGCACACACAACAACTAAAGTTGGCTGACCCTTCCCAACGTCGTACAGACATTGATTGGGTGCTTGAACCACAAGCAGAGTACGACGATTTTTCGCACAACTTTTTCTTTAGCCATAAGGCACATCCAATAAAAAGTACTTTCAAAAACAATTTTTTTTGGAGTAGTTCAATTTCTGGTCCACTGCTCGTAGGGAAGAAAAGCGCCTACTTTGATCTTCTTTCAGATTTCGCCATCTATTTTTAGCTTTTTTAGATTTACAATACCATCTGCAATTCCTCCTTAAAGCTTCGAAGAAAAATCCGATCTTTCATAAATATGTAAATATGTATTCACTACTTTTCAAACCCACTGTACGCACCCGCGCACGCTTTACTGCAGACGCCCAATATCTCTACAACATTTTGAACGCAAAGCGGTGACGGCATTTCGTACCATATGCGCTACTAGAGCGCTTAATGCACCCCTGAGATGGGCGATGTGCGACGCACGCGACTGCGGCAACGACTCGCAGCCAGTTTTGGGGCGTAAGCACGCACATATGGACTTATATATAAATGCGAGCAAATTGAAAATGAAAATAAAGCGCGACACATGTGAGCATATACTCATACGTACATACACGTATGTACATATAAGTTCATAAAAACATTTGCACGCTCGCATATTTAAATCGAACAAATCAAAACAAACTATAAAATCAAAAGTGAAAAAGTTATAAAATTAAAAATAAAAATAAAAATAAAAATTTGCCCACATAAAGTGAGTCAAAGTAATTGCAAAACTTGCGCATACATACAAACATACATATGTACATTCATGCGAATTTATGCGCGTAGTTGATTCGGATTTTTGGGGCGCGTGTGGCAACAAGCGCTGAACCAGAAATGGAAATGCTCAATGCCTGCGTACGGATTTTGAAATTGGAATTCGAATTGAAAGCGAAATTGCAAATAAAGTATAAACAAAAATCAGAAGTAAAACTAAAAAATAAAAATAAATAAATAAAAATGAAAGCAAAAGCAAAAACAAAAACAAAGCGGCGATTTAAAATTGAGCAACGCCGCTGACGATGCGACCCAGCAACGACGCATTGCCCGTCTGATGTGGGTGCACGACATACACACTCACAACAGCGACAGCAACAGACCACATACAGTACATACATACATATGTACACATAATCATAAAGATATTTATAGGTGTGTTTGTATGTAGCTATACACATGCATATGTACATATGTACAGCTCAAGCGTTTTGTGGGTGTGGATGCCTAACATCCAAAGGAGGTAGTGAGTGTGTGTATGTATGCTGACTGACTGACTGTCCAACTATGGCTTGACTGGCTAACCAACAACACCAAATGTGAGCATATGTAGATATATGCATATGTCTATGGACATACATGCTCACCGGGGCAGAGTTTTAAAACTACAAATATAGAAATAGCCATAGACGAGTATGTGCATACACGTATGTATAATTTTATGAGGTAAACAAACGTGACTTGTACTATGTACGCTATTGTTGTATTGTTGGTGTTACTGACCTCAGTTGATGCGCCGACGTTGCAGGTTCAACGATTGCCAAATAAACTAGCTGCTGCTGCTGCTGCTATCTCCTATCTGCAATTGCTAATGTTTGTTTGCTGAAAATTGTTTGCTCGTGTGTGTGTGTGTTTTTCTGAGTGCGGTAGGTCGTACGGTCGCACGTTCGTTCACATGACACTGGAGATAGCGTTGAAGGTATGGCTTTTATTTGTTGTTGGTTTATTGCTGCTGCTACTTCGCCTGCATTCGATTGTTGAATTGCTGAGCGTATTGAAAAATTTCCGAGTTGATGGATTGCCGGCAGTTTTTAGTGCTGCTTTTTTATTTACTTTTATTTTATTATTTCTTTTATTGATTTTTTTTTTCCTTTTTCGTTGTGTCTTTTTTATTTTTATACCTTTTTTCAATTCAATTTTCTTCGTTATTTGCGCGCTTGAGTTTGATTTTCTTGTTTCTTTTTTCGCTCTTTATTTGATTTATTGCTGCATTGCCGAATTGTTGAATTGCATTGTTGACTTGACAAGCTTGCTGATTGCCTGTCAACAGCTATGCGGCAATACGGAGCCGTTTTCGGACAATGTTGCAACTTTTTTTTGCATCACTTTTTGTTGAATCAAATTTTTTGTTAACTGTAATATAAAGTTTTATATTTTATTTAATTCGCTATCACTTATTTGTGCCACTTTTTATACAATTTTTACTTTTTTTTTATTTTAATTTAATTTATTTTTTTCTTTTTTATGCTAATAATAATAAATTTTAATATCTTTTTCGCTTTGCACTTTTTTCTTTGTTATTTTTCGCTCACGAATTTACTATGAAAGTCGCCCATCTTTTGTTATTATTTCATAGTAAACGTGCTTATTTCACAATATAAATGTAAATATTATGTATGTTATATTTCCACGCTTACTGAAAAAAAAAATGAAAAGCTTATAAGCTATTAAATAACTTTTCTTCCAACTTAAATCTATTTCTCAGTAGCCAGGCATCTACATTTGTTATAAATTATGACTTTATTATTTATGAATTGAACTCATTTTAATTATACTATTTTTTAATTTAATTTTATTTATTTTGTTGTATTTTATTGTGTTTAATTTTATTTTATTTACTTTAATTAGTTTATATTTTATTTTATTTTATTTTATTTTATTTTATTTTATTTTATTTTATTTTATTTTATTTTATTTTATTTTATTTTATTTTATTTTATTTTATTTTATTTTATTTTATTTTATTTTATTTTATTTTATTTTGTTTTATTTATTATTTTATTTATTTCTAATTATTCTATTATTGTATTTGCACATTTTTTCATATTTTTAGGGCAAGCTTTTACCTTTCATCACTTTTAATTCACACTTAATTTATTAGAAAAATATTTTTTTTGTATATTTTTAATTTCTTTCCATTCATCTCGCGACTCAACGCCTTTAACACATTTCATTAGTACGTTGATTTGTTGTTATTTTTTTCACATAGCATTAATATTTTGGTTTTTAGTATTTTCACTTTGTTAGTTTCTTTTCGAATATATTTTTCCCAATAACTATTGTATATATATTTTTTATGTTTGTTAGACACCTCTCAAGACCTGTTGTCGTCTAGCCGCTGCTAATGTAAACTGCAAAGGAGAAAGAGAAAAAAAAAGAAATTATAAATATAAATAACACACATATTTCTTCAACCTTAGAAGCGTAGAAAACCGGTAAATGCGTTTAACTTAGAAATTTGTGTTCAAAAAAGATTTAGCGTGGAATTTGCCTTACAGCAGCGGCTGTCTGTCTGCACGCCCAAAGGCAGTCGCTTTTACGGTTTATTACTGATTTGGAATTATTTACACATTTTGAAAACTAGTTTAGTGGTTTTTATAAATTTTCCATGTATAATTTCTTCGTTTAACAAATATTTACATTTTTACAAATTTTACAACAACTCTCTTTTGTAGCATTAGCTAAAACTCTTATGCCGCTGCTATCTCGATTTCCGACTTGTATGCATTGGTTGACGGCGATCACTGCTGCACTTAAACATTGGAAAATCACAAGATACGAATATGCGCATATGAACATATATATGTATGTTTGTATATATGTATGTTTGTATATATGTATGTTTGTATATATGTATGTATGTATGTCTTTGAATACGAATCAACGCTGTCTCAAGTCACAATTACGCTCACGTTCGCTCAACAATTGATTCGAGTGACGTTTGAATAGTTTATTTTTTATTTATTTATTTATTTTATTTTTTTTTGCTCTTCTTACACAGATACACCCACACTTAGATGTATAGATATCTGTATTGTATCTGTATACGCAAACCCACGACGCCTCAATTGTCAAACCACGATCGGCAGTTTTCTTTTAATTTTTTTCCGTTTTTTTATTATCTTTTTGTTTTCATTTTGTAGGCGTAAAAACAATCCAGAGCATAATATATTTAGTTGAAATCTGACAGCGTTTGTAGAATCCACCCCCGCTTCATGCATATGTATGTAAAATGAGATTGATCGTGTCGATTGTTGCACATAAAAAGAGAGAGAGAGAGAGGGAGAGAAATCGGAGTGGAGATAATGTGAATATCTCATGGTGTAGTTTGTGTGAATAAAGTAGTATTTATGGGTTTCTTCCTAGAATAGGCAGCTCAGAGAATACGTAAGAATGAGTAGACGAAGATACAGGATGCAATTAATAACGGCTTCTATTGAATGAAATTGATGGAATGCAGTGCATTAAGTGTAGCGGCGCAACTCTTTCAAAATCGCAGATAATAATAGATATGTCTGTATGTATATTGGCATATTTATTACTTAATCTTCTCAATTAGACAGGGATTCAATGTGAAAGTATTCAGTGATCATGACGAGCAAACAAATATAATCGCTTCCATCGTTACTTCTTCAACAGAAATTGATTTTAGGAAAAAAAAAATTGTTTTACTTATAAAGGTAAATCAATAATATATATGAGTATAATTCAAAAAAGATGAAATTTAGCGACCTCAACAGCTGATTGACTGCCACCTCATTGTGGTAACCGACTTTTCTATGTCTTAAAACTCTCTTTACCCAAAGCAAGGTTTCCCAACTCTATCGCAACCAAACAAGCTCTAGCGATTTTCCAATTGAAAAAATTGTTACCCACAATGAATGATTGCTTCATTGCCGACCAAAAGCCGGTATTGTTTATTTTTATAGTATACACATACATATATATGTAAATAATATATATATTACAGTTGTTAGTGAATCTCGCTTACTCCAAATGGTAAGTAACTCCGGTTACCGCCACAATGAGTCACAGCACAAAGTTTTCTGTGAATTTCGAAAACAAAAAAAAAAAATTGAAAAAAAGAAACAAACATTAACCCCATTATACAATATGGGAAAAGTGAAGAAAATGAAGAGAAAAGAACAATTAATTTTGCAACAAAGGGAGGAAGTTCGTGGTTTGTTTCCTTCGCATTCACGTTTAGCCGTTGTTAGCTTTGTTGTATATACATGCGAGGAGATGCCACATAATACCCATTGTTATGTACTTACAAACATACATAAATTACATGTGTATATAGATGTAAGTACATGGAAGCTCATGTTGTTTTCGGTATATTTTTTTTTTCTTGGTTTGCGGTTGTTTTATTGCCCAAAGATGGTACTTTATATATCAGTAGGCTTTTAGTAGTTGTTGTCGTTTATTGTATATATATATTTGTATATTATTTCATAATATTTTGTTTTGTATTAGTTACTAATTTTTTTTAATTACAATTGCAATTACTTTATAAGTCTCCCTTTCAAATTTTAGAACGAGCGGCTGAAATGGGGACGAGAAATCGCAAAAAGCTGAGGAAAGCTCAGACGAAATTCCACCACCGACGCGAACATAAATTCATGGAATGCCAAATAGTGCATATAGAATGACTGCATTATCTTTAAAGACCATTTCTAAGTACTTTCGAATATTCCAGACCGTACATCTTTCCGTAGAGGATGAGTCCCAAGAAGGTTGGCCAAAAATCTTCGCCTGACTGTGAGGACATACTGTAGCTCTACTGAAGTCCAAAATTGACGAAGAGCCACGATTGGCTCAAGAAATGATTGCTAATGAATTAGGCTTGGCTATATAGCGAATAATAACTGATCATCTGGGATACATGAAGAAATCTGCGCGATGGGTACCACGAATTTCGAATGAGGCCCAAGCAAAGGCTCCAGTGCGTTTTGCTCAATTTTTTGTGAAACAAATTCCAAAATGGTCAGTCTAGCAACTTTAGTAAAGTCATTGCTACTATTGACGAATCTTGGTTCTAAAAGTAAGATACAGAAACCAAACAGCAGTCTATGGTATGCAGCCCGGAACAAACTAACTCGTAAAATCTAAGCAACAAAAATCAGCAGCAGAAGAAATAATGCCAGTTTACTTCACCCAATCTAAAATCTGCATATCGGCGGATAGTTACCAAGTATCCGCCTTGAGAAAGATACTATCTATATAAGGACGGAGGAACCTACTTGAACGTCCTCTGCGGCAGAGCATCTTGAGGTACTGGCGAGAAACGACTTTGCTTTTAGTCCGCCAAAATAATTTGTCAATCCATCTCATGAGCTAGAACGAAGTTTCATACACTATTACCAGCACTTTACCACATAAAGTGACTAGTCGGGATGGCATTAACCCCATAACGCAACAAAAGCTTAAGGAAAGCTTAATTCTAAGACTTGAAAACACCTACAAGACCAGAATCGAACTATCTGGCATCCCAAGAAGCTTGTAAGGACTCAAAATGGTGTTTTTACTAAGACTAAACAGAGCAAGGCATGAGCAGTTCGAGTAAATGCTGAGGATTTTACGCCAATAGTCACTTTCTGCATGTTGAAGGTTCTCTTTAGGAAGTCTAATAGACATACACATAACACAATTGCGGCATTTCTTGACATAGAGGGAACCTTTTACTATTTCAAGGCGAGTACAATCATTAATTCCCTTTAACGTGAAGGCGACACAAACAGGAACTTATGTAAGCATAGGGACTCCTCAAATAAGTGCCCTTTCCTCGCTTTTATGGCTGGCTGAACTTTGAATAATATATCAAATTCAGGGAAAAAGGAGAAAAGCAACTGCATACCAGTAAGATTATGGAAAGAGCTAAACGAAGATTATGTCCTTGGGGCGCCCATAACCCTATTAAAGCACGAAAGTGGTGCCATTCAGAGGTGAACTCAAAATACCTCAATTACTAAATATCTGAAAGAGGAGATGACAAATAAACATTGAAAAACAGAAAAAGGAGTTTTATATTACACTTGCAAGAGAGTACTTGGCAGGAATTGGGATTTTAAGCCAAATATGGGCATATAGTTCTGTACAGCTGTTATTAGACCATTTCTTGCATATGGAGCACTGGTTCGATGGCTAGTTTTATGGACACAATATAATATTTATATATAAAACAATTACAATTTATAGATAACAGAGCACAGCCTGTTTAGGGATGGCTGATGTGCTTAGTGTTGTCTTGCATCAACTCTCCATAGCCGTGTTCATTCGGAAAGCAGCTGTAAGAATTAAGGAGTATTTCGTTTCAAGATTGGATTTCAATAGTTGCTTCCAGGTCAGGATACCCTAAATATTGGAGAATGATTCAGTAGAGGAGGTGATCTTGATGTCTCTTGCTCTCTTTCTCTCTCTCTATCTCTCTCTCTATCTCTCTCTCGCTCTCTTTCTCTCTCTCTCGCTCTCTTTCTCTGGCACACTATACGTCTACCAAACTCAGTTATTATCTACCAAGCGCACATACTGGGTATAGAGAAGGTCTATGGAACTCTTTTTAATGACAACAAAAGAGTACGAAAAGCAATCATATACACAACCGGACGGCAATACTTTTCTTTCTTTATCAGGTGGCTGTACCGGCTGAGGCTGGTTAAAATACATAGCTGATAATGCCTTTAAAGTGAGTGTGGACAGTGCCTAACGAATTGTCAACGCAGTTTCAGTGACAGTTGTTCTTGTTTTCGTATTATTCACGCTCGAAAATGTCCGTTTATGTGCCGATTTCTCGCCATTTGCGGGAAGTTTTACTTTTCTGTTACAATTCGAAAAAAAAAATGTAGCTGAAGCGCATTTAATGCTCTCAGAAACTTATGGCGATGCTGCTCTGAGTGAAAGAACGTGTCGGGAGTGGTTTCAACGTTTTAAAAATGGTGATTTCGATGTCGAAGACAAACATGGTGGTGGAAGAGAAAAAACCTTCAAAGATTTACTACGAGCTCTTAAAACCGGGTGAAACCATCACAGGAGATCGCTATCGAACGCAGCTGATGTGCCTTAATCGCGCGCTAAAAGAAAAGCGGCCACAATATCAAGAGCGACATGACAAAGTTATCCTCCAACACGACAATTCTCGGCCTCACGTCGCAAAAGTGGTCAAAAAGTACCTGAAAACGCTGAAATGTTAAGTCTTACCCCACCCGCCGTATTGCCCATATGTCGCCCTGACTTCCACCTATTCCGTTCGATGGCACACGGCCTGGCAGATCAACATTTTCAATCCTTCGAAGAATTGGAAAAATGGATTGCTTCATGGATAGCGTCAAAAAGGGACTCTTTTTTCGATCCGGGATCCGAAAATTACCGGAAAGATGCGAGAAAGTTGTCGCTAGCGAAGACAATACTTTGAATAATATATCTGTAAGCACTTATTCGCAATAAAGCTTTTAATTTTGAAAAAAAAAAAAAACGGCGGAAGCAAAGTCGCACACCTGATACATAATTTTTTTGTTTTTTTTTTTTCTTTTATTTAATTTATTTGCTTTAATTTATCTTAAGTTAATTTAATATTTTATTTTACTTTGTTTTGTTTTATTTTGTTTCAAATTAGTTTTGTTATTATTTTTTTTTCATACTTTTTTTTTTTCATACTTGATCTTATTTTGTTGCTGTTGCCACATTACTTACTCCCTAAATAAATAAATCTGTCACAATGACGGTACTTTACTGCTTCCTTCTTATTTGTTTCCTTTCGGCAAAGCTCTCTGCACCTACATATGTACATGCATACATATGTATATACCACAAATACTGAGACGTACAAAGCCATGGCTTGGCTCACAACAATTGAGTTTGACGTTGCCGCAACAAATCAAGGGAGCTCTCTCCTCTCACGCCGCCTTCGATGCGCTGGCACACAAGCTCTGCACCTACAAACAATTGAAAATTCACAATTGCATTGAATGAAAGAGTTTGGCGCTGCCTCTTTTTGCTCTTCTTCTTGTTCTTCTGCTGCTAAAAGTCCGTTGAGTATGCTTCAGACGTCAGCCTTGCAGCTTGGAGCGAAAAGCATTCATCGGCGGCTTGTTGCAGTCGTATGAGTGTTTTTGCCTCGTTGTTGTTGTTGTTGTTTTGCTGTTGTTGTTTTCTGGTTATTTGTTGTAGTTTTTTGTTTTTTTTTTTTTTTGTTCTGCTGCCTGTTGCCTTTACTGCCTGCGGTGGAGCAAAATTTCACAGTGAAGTCTCTGTGCGGTAAAAGAAAATAAAAATGGGAGAGTCTTATTGAGTGGCGTTCGGAGAGCCGAAAATAATCATTAATGAAAATAAAAATAAAAACACGGTGACAGAAGACCAGTAGGAAACAGTGAGCGCAACAAATTCAAACTGCCAGCAAACAGATCGCCAATAACAATAATAGCAACTGCAACAACATAAACCGGTCTGAGCAGCGCCAAACGTCGAACAGCGACTGAGAGGGGGTGAGTGCGCGTGTAGGAAGCTGCGTGGAATAGAGTTGTTGAGAGCGAGTTTAAAAAAAGTGATAGACGAGAAGAGAAAGGGAGGTAATAGCAACAATAACAACAACAACAACAACAATGTTGCCTGAACGCCAACAGCGCATTCCAATGTCGACGTAAGCTGCGGCAGCGTTGGAGC